TACTATAATGCTAGGGTCAAGAAGCGGAACCTCCGCATCGGCGACCTGGTCCTTTGTAAAGTTATGGTACCTGAGCCCGGTGTTGGTAAGCTCAATCCTAATTGGGAAGGACCCTACCGAGTAAAATGAGTGCTCGGGGAAGGAACATACGAGCTCGAAACCCTAGAAGGTAAGCAAGTACCTCAGGCATGAAATTGTCAACTTAAGGAAATACTACCTATAACTACTGAGTAGATCACGAGTCACTCTCAAAGCCTAAGGGCCAAAATGCCGAGCTAACGTAGACCTCGGTGCGATAAGACCCAGTCGCCTCTATGGCATGAGCGAACTACTGAGTAGACCACGAGTCACTCCCTTAGCCTAAGGGCTAGAGCGCTGAGCTAATGAAGACCTCGGCACTGTATAAGACAACCGTTTCATCGGCAGAGGTCAAGTATTAGTACCAGAGGCGCAGGCGGCTCGGGTGTGAACCCTATGAAGTGCAGCTCATCTTGGTACACTATTTAAACCCGATAAGGGTAGTACAGCTCAGGCATACGTGGTAACCACTTCGAGGTACACTATGAAACTACCTCATGCACCAAGGAACAGCTCGGGGTAACAACTATTGAAAAATCCTACTTTGGGTATGTAGCTCTAACAGCTCGAGTGATAAAATCGCTTCGACAGAAAGTAAAGAGCACACCATACTTAGCAGAAAAAAGGTAAAACATTTCATTACTAATTCATATAAACAAAAAACCAGGCTTAACAGCCCGGGAAAAGTTTAACAGAAAATAAATAAAAAGTAGGGCCCAACCGCCCAAGAAAGTTCATCAAAAAAAGATATTTAAAACCGGGTTCTAATACCCGGGAACCACCAGAGTCCATTTAGAGAAAACAAAAAACAGAAGAGCAGCCACCGGCCTCAGGGATCCACCGCCTCCACATCCTCATCATCCTCCGGAGAGTCAGGCTCCTCCTCCTCCGCTAGGTCTGCCGTCTCAGGATCCTGACCCTTCATTGTTATGCCGTCGAGGTTGAGCCCGGAGAACTTCTTCCGGACCAGTCAACGACAGAGTTTAAATCCAGAGTGGTAGGAGCTCGAGCCATACTCCACCTGGAGGTCGTGGTACTCTTGGGAGTCCTTGAAGTCCCACACCGCCTTAGCCCGCTCGGCCTCCACCATGGTGTCGAAGTTCCGAGTTCGATCCTGAAGCGTGGACTCCAAGTCTCGAACCTGCTAGCGAAGAAGCTCCCTCTCCGCTGCCACCCTCGATGACTCCTCCCGGTAGCGAGCACTCTCCTCAGATAGCCGGGCGATCTGTGCCTCCTGGTCCCGGAGGAGTTGTTCCTGGGCCTCACTCCCTTGTCGAGCCTAAAGGATTTCACCTCGGGCCTGGTCGAGCTCGCCCTGGAGCTTCTGCATGGTTGACCTCTGAGCGAGAGCATCACTGGAGTGAATGTTGGTCTGGAGGGCCATGGCGTGGATGGCGGAGTTCACCTGCCAACAAAAGGTTGAGGTCAGAAAAAAAAAGAGAGAAGAAGAAGAAGGAAAAAGAAGAAAAAGTAGTCACTTACCACCATGTAGTGAGCGGAGGCTAGCCTGGCGAGCTGCTTGGGGTCCATCCCTCCCTAGCCAGCAACCTCCTCATGGGAGATCGCCCTTCGGCTCCTCCGTGAAGCCACGGTGAAGTCGGTGACACTCTCCTAGTTCTCGGTAGGGAACCGCGGGAAAGCGAGGGAGTGGGATTGCCTAGACGGAGGGAACTGCCCTTGCGCCGGGAGCTCGCCTTCTTCAAGGCCACCTTCCGTGACAACTCCCTCGAACGAGACCGGGGGGACCTCAGGCGGTGGAGAAACGAAGGTTGGATCAGCAGCCTCGAACTCAACGCCCCCAGAAGTGGAAGCTCGGTCAGGACGCGACCTCTTCGCCTTGCGCTTTTGGTTGCTGAATAGAAGGCGGCACGCGTCAACACCAGACATGATAGCTGCCAAAAATCACAAGGTATTAGTCCAAAAAAAAAAATTTACAAGACACTACGCGACCTAAAAGGCAACCTACCAGGGCTTAGGCCGGCTTGCATGAGCTTGTCCTCGGTCGAGTAGTCCGACCAATGGAAGCCAACAGCTGCCCAGGACTGCAGCGTTTCCTGAACTTTGGGATCCAAGTCAACCCCCGATTCCTGGATGGCGACCCTCCAGTGAGTTGGGAAATGCCACTCTTCGAGGTTGTGAACTATAAAATAGTCCCGCTTCCAGGCCGGGATCCTGTTCGGCAGTTCTTATAAGAGCTTGAAGCCGCGGCGGGGAGAAAAATAGTAGGAACGCCTTTCTGGAGACGCTCTGGGGGAAGCATTCTTAATGCAAAGAATGGTGGAAAGGATGTCAAGGTTAAGGGGAAGACAATACTCATAAAATAAAGAGATAGTCCCAACTACATTTCGGATGCAGTTGGGGTGAAGTTGGTCAACAGTGACGTTGAAGTGATTCAAAACGTCCACTATCAGAGGATGCAAAGGAAGACGGAGGCCAGCGATGAGCTGCTCCTGGAAGATCACTTTCTCATCAGGACTGTGCTCCTAGGGATAGTTACCGAAAGGGAGACTATAGACAAGGTCTCTAGGGAGGTTAAATTGGAGAACCAAGGTCCTAAGTCTCTCCATCGACATGGAGGAAGGACCAAATCTATCTTGCTCCCTGCCCCAAGAGGTAGAAGCAGTCTCGCCAGAAGCCTCCCGAGCTTCTAGAGCTTGCCCCCAAGCTCCCCCTGAGCTCGAAGGGGCATCATCTTGGTCATCACCCCGGGTATAGACGTGGTACGGATACCCAGACATACTGACAAAATGATAAGACTCACCAGGGAAGAGATGGACCAAAAAGACGGTGTGAACAGAAGAAGAGCTCGGGCAGCTAGATGAAGACGCGACCTCAGAATCCGAAAGCAAGGCAAGTTAGCGTAAAAGAAATGAGGCCTGAGGCCCTCCTATTTATAGCCATTGTGCCCTCAAATCGACGACTCAGATTAAGACGGATATGACGGATCATAGTCAAGCTGACCGCACACCTCTTGAAGCTAAAACGTGACTGGTCGCACATCTCCCATGATTAAGGTAATGACGGCTGCACGTCTTCTGGAATTGAGAGCCACTTCAGCACGTTTTTTGGCATTCAAAAGGTCCAGAGACCCCTTGACTTCTGCGCGCGTATTTAATGCGATCAGTCAATCAAGTTTGAATTTTGGGTCAAATCCACCCGTCACACTCCATGAACTTCTTGCGCCAGAATAGAACCCTTGGCTCGAGGAGTGGGGGGCAATTGATGGAGGGCGATTTGACCTGACCCCTTAAGAAGGTGACATGTGGACATGACTCAACAGAAGTAACAGCTCAACACAACGGCCTGGCTGCGACTATGTAACGAGCTCGCAGGACAGTTCGCTACGTTACAGCTCGCCACAGGATGAACTTGCTACAACACGAGCTCGAGGACCCCCGACGTACTGAAGGGGAATGCTCCAAGACAAGTCTATCCTAGCTCGTGAGCTTGGATAACCAGCTCGCTCTGGTACTTAGGCAGGAAAACTACCCCAAAGACAACCTCGAGAGGAATCGCCTCAAAGTGCCCCTAGGAGCTCGCTACAAGGTAGCTCGTAGTAGGATAGCTCGCTACAAGGCAGCGCGCTACGGAATAGCTCACTACAAGGCAGCTCGCTATTAAGCGTCGTAACACTTTCAGGAAGCTTCTATCTGACAAGACCATACCCGCCAGACTGCACCACGTCTCTTGACTGACGGCGCAGTCCCTGCTAGCCCGATAGACTGCACCCACGTCTCTCGATAGGTGGTGGCGTGTCTGTCCTCCCGGGATGTGTCACTCATTCGATTGGGTAGTACCCTGCAACGGTTACCTACGTAGCACTGGTAAATAACGGCTGCGACAGAGGTTCAGTGGCGGTTATGCCCGATTTGACAAGAACGCCCATATTTAAGAGCCCCATGGTCGAAGGGGAAAAATGTATCTTGAACATATCTTGATCTAATCTTGAGTAAACCTCGAACTCTCATTGATCTAGTGGTACCTACAGTCTTAGTCTTGTTTGCACTTTTTACTGCTCTCAGAAGCGTTCTAACTTAAGCATCGGAGTATTCCCACTGGGTAGGTCCCCTAAGAATCCTTCACCGTCTTCTTCTCAAGTACAGTCCGCCACAGCTAAAAGCCATTCGACTGCCAATTAGGAGTGCCCGGATTGCGCAGCATCAGAACCATCTCTTCTAGTGGCGGTATGATTTTTCGCAACAGTGCTGGAGAACTTCTTTTTGCTAGAGCAACTCCCTTAAAAAAAGAATTCCGTTGATCGCTGAAACTCTGGCTTTGGTGGAGGGTTTGAAACTGTCTTTAGATGTGGGTATTTCTTGCATTCTGGTTCAGAGCGACGCCCTCACTTTAATCAGATGTTTGTTGGTGGATTCATTGGATCCACCATGGTCTATTAGTGTCTTAGTCACTGAATGCAAACAACTGTTGCATTGCTTCTCTAACTATTCGATTTATCACATTCCTAGAAGAGCTAACATGGCTGCAAATAAATTGGCTAAATTTGCTAAGAGTTAAAACTTGGCCTTAAGCACCTAATTTCCTCCTCAATATTATTGTATAAGATATGTAAACGGAGCTTGTTGATGAGTGAATTTGCCCTAAGTGGCCTTGTAAAAAAATGGGAGATATTCTAAATATATAACTGCAATGAGGCGTAGACAGGATTATTGCAGATTGGATATCCGAACTCCAATGTTCATACCCGTAATTTCATTGCGTTTGGTAGAAAACATGATTCTCAATCCTCTACGGTAACGGTAACCAGAGGATATTGGACCTATCATGATCCACCACGTCACCCTTATGATGGCCCAAGAGCTGATATTCTGATTAGCCCAGCATTACGAATAGAACTGTAGACAATCGAAACTCGAATAATGCCAGTACCAGTAAAATGGATCCTCAACTCAAACGAGTCGGATCTGGGAGGTGTTGTGAGAGCAGATCCCGATTCCTCATATTGTGGGTCCTGCCGTCCTAGCCCCTGGGTTACGGAGACGTCATCTTCACAGAAAACTCGTCGGTCAAATGAGTTGAAGTTTTGCGTTCCGAGTAAAATTTTATCGGGGCCCCTGTTGGTGCGTTAAAGATGTCGGAGCTCTGCAAAAATTGACTTTGGCAGTGATTTATTTTCTTTGAACGATCTGGAGTGGCAGAAGAACTTCCCCAGATTTGGATGGTTTGGCTCTAGAACTGCCCAAAGTTTTTGTAGATTTGGATCTCGAGCGCGCTGCAGAGGTCATTCATTTTTTAGGAACACAGGCCGGATAATATAGGCAGGAATTTTTAAACATTTTTGGATGCGATTTCCCAGTTTGGTCTAAAGTAGTTCGAAGATTGGAAAGTTTTGAAGGTTCGGAGTTGAGTCTTGAGTTTAAATAAATTTATGGTTTTCATTTTGCGAACTCTCAGAAATCTTAATCTTTGTTTTTTGGTTTTACCGTTGGATCAGATGGCGGAGGGGACTGTTCAATCTCGTTATGTGAAGCTTACGAAGGATCAAGGGCCCGTGGAGGAGATTACGCCCGGGGAGCTTAACCAGCCTATTCAGGTTCCTCAGGTCTGATTTGCCTTTTATTTTATTTTATTTTATTTGAGAGTTTATGGGCCAATTCTGCTTCATGCAGTTATCAAGAGACAAGAGTACTGTGTTATTTGACTCCCAAAATTGATCGTTTGGTGGAATTGGAAATTTCGATGTTAGTACTGGAGTATCTGAAATAATTAGAGTTTGAGTGTTCTTTTATTATACTTTGAGTGTTACTGGTCAATATCTGAAATAATTAGCAGCAATGTAAGGGTTATTTTGGCATTGTTGTTTTCTTTTGGTAATTTTTGGAATATATTCTTCATGACAGTGTTAGATTTTGAAACGTTATTCATATACTGTAATTTAGAATGTTATTCTCTACAAATGGTGCTAGAGTCAAAACATAAATCATTTTTGCACATTATCTTTTGTGGATCATTTCAGTTAATTGTTTGGTGTTTGGGAACTACATGGAATGATTAAGTATGTGAAAAGGGGTCATTTCAAGAAGTCTAGTAGGAAATTTAAATGAGGCCGTTTTTGGATTTCAAGGAACGAAAGAATTTCTGTCTTTTATTAACAGACTTGTAACGTTTCCCTTTTAAGTCAATGAACTTACGGATCCCGTCAAGAGATGAATTTTTCTCTTTGTTCAGTGATTGATGTTATTAGAGCATGACACAAGATCTTTAGATATTCAACTAGAAGATAGGTTTTTGCTCAAAATTGATCCCTTCCTTGAGGGGCTTTGAAGTAAAATATTGTTTTTGCTCTCTAGGAAACTTAGGAAATTCAGGTATTGGTGGAGCATTTAGTGATTCTAACCAGGGTATTCTATATGTCTATTCAAGTCCAGCTGGTTATGGACTGTGATTAGGGAATTTAGGGTAGATGTTCTAGCCTTACTGAAGTGGATTGAATCTTATGTACTCATTAGCAAATCTAGATCTATTGTGTCTATGGTGAATTCTCTTGTTTACCTAGATCATGTGATCAGCATATACATTAGCTAGCCAGGTTATGTCTAGATGAAAAAGAAAAAAAAAAGAATTACGTTTGGGGGAATCCATTCCTTAGATAATGAGTCTGAGTACTTCTAAGTTGTGTTATCAGGATAGCCTTCTGTAAAGATCCAGATTTGGCCTACATACCGGATTTTTTTTTTTCACTATTGCATTGTATGTTGTTAGTGTAGGGGTATTTCTGTCTTTATACTTATGTTGAGGTTGCTGATCTGTAATATTATATTAGAACTAGTGTCCCTCACTTAAATAAGGGCACATGTGTCTTTTCCATTCTATTAATAATATAAAAACATGTCTGGCCGAATGGGAGATGTACTTTACCCTAATTCAAACTAGACTTTTCTTCTCTCTTTTTCTCCTCCTTTCTCTCTCTCTCTCTTTCTTCCCTCTTTCTTCCACTTTTTTCTTGACTGTTATCAGACTAACAGAACTCAAAGGCAGACCGAATTATAACATGGTATCAGAGCTCAACTAAGCAACTCGGATTTGCCCTGATTTCTGTTCTCTGCGCACTCAATCTAGGGTTTTCCCTTGATTTCTCTGCCATCGATTGGAGATAAGGGAAAGGGCTGAAAAGGAGTGGTCGCCCTCTTCCCTTGGAGGTTTCTATGCCTCCAGTTGTGTCTTGTGTGGTCGGTTGTTGTGGTTTCTAAGAAGCCCTCTCCTAATCGATGAAGAGAAGATGGCTGATTCGTGTGGTGCAGTAGGTGTCTTGTGTGGACTGATTTTCTTCTCGTGTGGTTTGTCTTTCAAGTGATGAGGTAAGATATTTCTGTGCATTTTTTCTGTTATGAATCAAATAGGAATTATGTTTCAGATCGTATGATGGAATTTCAGACTGTAGTGTGCTCGGGTTTATGCTGTTTTTTGTGTGATTCGAAGGAGGAGTGGTGCTCATATAGTGGTGAGATTTCAGGTAGTTGTAGGTAGGGTTTGTGGTGTAAAGAGTGCAGTCTTCAGCAATAACAAGTGCTGAAACCAGTGTGATCAAACACTGTGCAGTGTGCCGAATTCAGTGATAACAGAATTCAGCAATGGGAGATAACAGTGATAGCAAATCTAAAGTGATGATACCTACTGACTACCTGAATGTTCAAATGACCTCCATTAAAYTRAAWGGAGAGAATTATGTACCTTGGGCTAAATCTGTAGAAGTTTTTCTGAAGGCAAAGAAGGTGAAACACATAAGGGAGGAGAAACCCTCCACTGATTCTCATGAGTATGAAG